CAACCCGGATGCCGCAAACGCAGGCGCTCCGGCTCTTCCCTCCTCTCTTGCACTGGGAGTGTAAGCTGGCATGAACCAAAACATGCAGGAAGCAGGATTCTTAAGTCAGTCACTTTTTAAAGTTGAACTTACGAGAGGCGATCTTCAGAATGAAGGAACATGTACTAAACCCGGGCTGATGGCTCGCGCCTGTGCCCGACAAGGACCCGGGGACCGAGCCCTTCATGTGCGGAGCAGAGGGCCGCCCTGTCGCTCCTTCCTTTCCAACAGTTTAAAAACCTTGAGTATAGTGACAGTAACTGAAAAGTGCCCTTTATTCCTTCAGGGAAAGCGTCTGAAGGTGTCTTTAAATTCTCTCCTTGGGAAAGGAGAGAACTATTGGGAGACCAGCTCAGAAAAGCTTCACACAATTTTGTCAACTGCTGCTGGTGGTCAACCTGGTGAAAGGGACCCTGCAAATGCCATGCAACATGTCAGTTACTTCTCTACTAAAACTAAGATAAACAGAACCAGTAAGAAATTGCTAATAATCAAAACTCAGTATCTCACTCGTGGTTCTCCTTAAAACTAACAACGACTCATGTCTTGGCTGGATACTTCTCTAACAATATGATATCGAGTACAACTTTGCTGATTTTTCTTCTATAAGTTCTATTCCAGGGTCTGATATGTTTTATACTAGATATAATGTGCAATCATTTAATCTACCTCCTAATAAAAGTATGATACCTTTCTTAATAAATAAGAAAGTATTAAACATTCATTGAAGAAGTTTCAGCTACATGTTACAAACAAATACACGGGAAGATAAAACTCCCGTAAAATGTGAAGTGCATATAAATTAAAATGAGATTTTCATCACCAATAATGCCCACAGAATTCTGAGACACGGCAGTTTCGTAACCAGGGCCTGTGCGCGAGCTCTGGCTCCGCGAGCACCACTGACCCGCTCGCCAAAGGGGACGTGGGCCTTTCCCGGCAGAGAGCTCTGACTTTCAAAGCGCTTTGATCAAACCGATTATGAACCACAGTAAGAAAATGATTGGCAAATAAAGATTCTGTCTTGTATTAAGATACGTGAAAACCAGCTTAATTTAACTTTATCCCTTCAACCAAGGAGGAAAAGTCACTTCTTCCCCTGGAGAATGAAGATATTATCACCATAAAACATCTCTGGACAGCTCTGGCGCGCAGCCCAAGTGCTTCTAAAGCGATCGCTTGACAAATTAAATACTCGAGAAGCCAGCTTCTCCCGGGAGCCTGGCTCGAGGCCAAGTTCACTGACGACGGCTGCTCTGGGCTGTGCGGGCGCAGGACCACTTGACCTAAACACGGCGGCTCTGCCCACTCGCTCTCAGAGACACTCACAGCTGGAGGCAGCGCGTGAGGCGGGACCACTGGAGGGAGAAAGGAGTATCCACTGAACAACACGATGGGATCCTTTCCATAGACTCTCCGCACAGACGCTTGTGGAGAGGAAATAACCGGCAATCAGGGCCACCAAGAGCAGCCGTTCACCGACATTTCCTGCTAATTTGGTGTGACTTTTTGAAGGCTAACTCTGCTTCTGGTTTTTGCCTAGGCTGCCTCGGAAGAGACAAAACATGACTTGAAATTCATGAGCTCACCGCCATGCACCTAAATAAGGACACACCCGTCACATTTATGTCATCTCCTCAGGGTTAATGTGAAACTGGCCTCCCAGGAAGCGGATCCAGGCACCAGCACCAGAAACACGGTGCTGCTTTGCCTGAACCCAGTGCCCGTGTAAGAGCTTTTATGTACATCGGCTCCCTGCTTGGTCCACAGGAGCGGTACGTAGCACACAACATCAGAACTTCTACAAAGCCTTTGAGTCTTAAAGTACAGTAACTCATCCCAATCAAGTGGTTGCAAAAAAATCGAAAGCTGCTTTTAAAAGCCAATCACCAAACCCCACGAGGACAGGGCAGTCAGTGCCTGAGTGAAAACCTGAACAACAGCTGAGATTACAAAACACAGAACTGCACCGAAATCAGGGTCAGCTGATATTCCACTGACACAAAATCATAACACAGGTTCACTCCTGATACATAAAAAGTAGAGTTATAAAAACGTTGACCGGTTATTTAAATTCTAAGACATGTTTAAATATGACTTCTAAACCCGAAGTCAGTACTCAACCAAACAGAAGTCCAATTCCCCACGGCACAGCCGGCAGCCGATGTAGCCCGAGTGCCAACAGGAATGCACTGGGGAGCGGTGTGCATATACATGTGCGCATGTGCATGTGTGGGCACATGTGTGTGCATGTACGTGTGCGGGTGAAGGGGTCAGGAAACAGGTGGACAGAGAGGGAAAGAGCTAGAAGATGCTGTCCTCTTGGCAACAGGAAGAGCTCATTAAGAACCTGCTCTCAGGCCTCCCTTATGTCACCAGAAGGAGAAAACTGACTCCATTTTGTCTGGAAAATCTAAGTTTTCCCAAAGTGTCTTAGCTTTATTTACAAGGCAATACCCCATTATCTTAAATGCACGTCAATCTAAAGGATACAATGGTCAGAGGTTTGGCTAAACAAGAGAATTGAAAGAAACTTACGTTTTTCAAAAGAGTGAGTTCTGCCCTGGCAGGGTGGCCCACGGATTGTGTCACCCCTGCACCGAAACGCTTCGTGTTCGATTCCCGGTCGGGGCACGTGCAGGGGCAACAGATTGAGTTTTGCCTTTTCCAGATCACCTTTTCTTGAATATTTTTTAAGTCTCATAAACAAAGTAACCCACACTATAACTGACACACACAACCCCGCCGGCCAGCAGCAGCTGGGCGGGCCCAGGATCCGCCGCGCGGCTCTGTTGGCTATTTTGAGCCCTGGGAGTGTTCGGCTTATTTTTCTACATTCAAGGAATCTGCGTGAAGTGTCCACAATCACAAGCACAGTGAAGGAGCTGGAGAATTTCACTTCTTCTGGGGAAAAGAGGGCTTTTCAAAATGACCCTACCGGTAAACATAAAATTTAATCTTGAACAAAATAAGAACAAACCATGAAACAGCCAAACGTCACTTACTGGTGCGAGAAAGCGGCACGTTGTCTGAATTCCCACGGACTGGCCTTGCCGTCTCTGCCCTCCTCTTTCTGGGTCTTTCCTGTCCTCAGTTTCCCTCCGCATGCTCCTCCCCTAACTTCTGCCCTGCAGCTCTTCCTCCAGCTCTTGGCTCCTTCCCCTGGCCGCTGACCCGGGGCCTCCTCTGCCTTCGCAGTGAACTGCCTGCCAGGAAAGCAAGTGTCTGCAGCCAAGAGCCGCCCTCGCTGTGCCTGCCTACAACCCGGTCCCGGAGGGGCTGGAGGCCAGCTGTCGTCCCCGGCAGGATGCCTGCTGCCAGGAGCCGCTGGTGTCGAAGGTAAGCCTGGATTCCCCACACACGTGAGCAATGTAATGCCTAACTCTGAGTTCATCCTAAATATTCATATTTTGCTAAGATATAAAATAAACTACTGTCCCCCTTTGCAACAGTATACTCCGCGGGCCGGATCCGGCCTGTTTGAAATGAATAAAACTAAAAAAAAAAAAGACCGTACCCTTTTATGTAATGATGTTTACTTTGAATTTATATTAGTTCACACAAACACTCCATCCATGCTTTTGTTCCGGCCCTCCGGTCCAGTTTAAGAACCCATTGTGGCCCTCGAGTCAAAAAGCTTGCCCACCCCTGGTCTAGACAGTTTCCCGCGGGATGGAAATAGGCCTATGGACACCGTCACTGGGCGTCTCTTTCCGGCGGCGGCACCAGTGCAGACGCGAGGGCCTCCACGGCTGCTGTAGAGACGAGCGGGCTGTCCCTCCCCAGCTTGCAATCAGGAGCCTCCACCATCGGGTGCAGTTTGTCAAGAGGAAAGACTCACTCAGACACAACGATTAATTTCAATGAACTAATCATTCCTAACTTTGACAAAGGAAGTTAGCACACAGGCACACACTGTAAGCACAGGAGCCAAGTGAAAAAAATCACTAAGTCGGCTCAAAAAAATTTCCCCTCAGAGCACTTTCCTGGAATGGCACAATTGAGAAAATTTCATTACCTACTATTGGGGGGAAAAAAGAAAAGCACAAATATCTCAGCTCAGATGTCTAGAGAATTTAGCCTGGAATCTCAATTCAAAGGTCAACTAAAAACCTCAAATATGCTTCCTAATTTTTCTATTTTTAATAAAAAAAAAACAGGAGTTTTACTTCTTTCTTAGTTACAAAAGCTAAATTAGCCAAAGTCAGTATAAAGGATTTTAAGTTAAAAAAGGAAAATGAGTACCTGAAAAAAAAGTATAAAATCCAATTTCATATCAGAACATAATTACAAAAAACTCCACTATCTACTTCAATCTAAAGTCTGTGCTCACTGTTGATGGGAAATGAACTGTGTGCCTTCTGGGTTTGTTATAAGATGCACATTCTTAGGTGACAAGGTTGTGCAGATAAACTGAAGGCACCAAATCAGAGGGAAGCTGGGACAACCATCTTCCCATTCCCCTCCGAGCTCTGGCGTCTTCTGACCTTGGTGTGAATGGCACAAAATCCCACACCACTTCCGGACAGAGACAAAGCAATCCCTCCATTCAACAATAAACTTCAAATATGAGGCAACAAAATAAAGATCTACATTCAAGGACAACCCTGAAGATAAAAAGTGGCAGAAAAATTATTGGTTTTAAAAGAGAAAACGGTCCCTTTTCAGTCTTCAAAGGACCTAAGGAAGACGGAGCTTTCGCAGCCTTGCTTTTGGGATTCAGCCTGAGGTCGTTAGCAACAGACGAAAGGAGGGAGCGGCACAGAAATGCAGTTCAGCTCAGAGACAGGCGTCATGCTGGGGCCACTCACTCACCCACAATTCAGATGCCAAAATCCCTGCTACGTGTGAGAGGAGAAACATGCGTTCAGGCTGTGACGTTCAACCAGCCTGATGGACCGGGCCCGCCTGGGCTGGCGGGGACGCGAGGGGCAGGGCGCAGCGCGGGCACAGCACGCTACCTTCAGCTGGTTGTTGAAGATGTCGATCTCCTGCAGTTTGGATCTCGTTTCCTTCTCAACTTCATCCAGCTGGTCTCGGAGCTGCTGGCGAGCCAGTTCTTTTGCTTCTAAGGCCCTTTTGAGTGTAAGAAGTGAATCTCCTGTTTTAGAAAAATATTGCAAGATCAGAAAAACCAACTGTCGGTGAGGAAAACCGGTTTTTAATATTCTTTCAAGTGAGGAAATTCCTGTCAGTGAAAAGCAAAAGGCCGGGCAACACCTACTGTGCAGACTGTTCTGCTGGACCTGTTTCAGCTGGTCACTGAGCACCTGCTTCTCCGGGATCAGCCTGCTGAGCATCTGCTGCGCCTCCTGGAGGAGGAGGAAAGGCGGTGAGTGAGGGGCAGGCCCGGTCCAGGCTGACCCCCCAGACAGACCTCAGCCAGTTCTGTGCCCCAAACACTCCCGCCCGCAGCCCGAGGCCTGGGGGGAACCGCGCTCAGCCGCCAGTGCAGGCGCGTCCCGCTTTCTTCCGAGGAGCGCACTGTGTGCCAAAGGCTTTGCACCGAGATCAGGTTGAGATGGTCATAGCTCCCTTGGTGTTTCTTAAACTTTTATTGACTTACTGCCTGTTTATAAGCTTTTAAAAATGTACTTGGCGGAGAAATTAAAGCAACGGCTTCCCAGTGGCGCTGCTTAGATGTGGCTGTGGGGGGGGGGGGGGGGGGGGGGGGGGGGCGCTGGCTCGGCGGTTTAATGGGGACTACGCTGCTCTGAACTTGGCTCTGTAGGGGCTCCGCTGAGGCTGACCACACACCGGGGGCTGGACACTGATCAGACATTTCCAACCTGGCACCTGGGCTGCCACCGGTTCCTCCGCGCTCAGCAAGGCGCTGCCAGTTCAAGGCACCAGCATTCCTGAAACAACTACTGTTTACCCGACGTGAGAGAAACCAAATCACACGGTACCAGGCTATTTGGAGTTTTCCTGGATGCCTTGCCAAGCACTGTACTTGCTTAAGTTCAGTGGAAATTATCCTCACAGTTTCTGTACCTTTCAGTAAATGACAGCCTTCCCAGTGTAGAATAAGGAATATTTAACTTCTATTTTTACCTAAATTTAAAAAAATATTGGTTTTTGGTTTCAAAATATAGAAATATCTTTAAAAAATTTTTTTCATCCAGGTTCAGAGCCAGTCATTTGGAACAACCATCCTTAGATACACTGGCTTGTGTGTCAGAAGTCACTGTGCCACGTGTCTGAAGAGCAGCGGGCTTAGTAGCTTCACAGGGAGGACTTGGAATAGTCTTCTCGTATGAATAATCCACACACACCCCAAATCTGGACAAAACAGAACATACAAACAGATCTTCCTCCAAAAAGCCAGGCGCTCCTCCGGTCCTCCCTGGATGAAGGCAAGGCCCGCCCCCAGCACCGGAGTCTCTCCTGAACCACGTCAAACAGTGAGCAGCGCGATGAAGCGTGCTCAGCTCACTCCGCTCCTCTTCTTGTGTGAATGTGGCCCACGACGTGTCTAATTGAGGCGAGCCAACACGGGGGCTCGCTGCCTCACAGGCACAGCCAGGACCCCTCGTTCCAGGAGGAAAAGGAGCCCTATCTCAGTACCTGGATTTCTTCAAACCATGTGTTATTTTTCACTTCACCACACTTTCTGGAACCCTGATTTGTATTTTATTACCAACTAGAGGCCCGGTGCACGGGTGGGGCCGGCTGGCCAGGGGAAGGGGCCGAGGGCAGTTGGTTGGTCAGCCCCGCCCCCTGGTCGAACTCCTGGTGGAGGGGACAATTTGCATATTAGCCTTTTATTATATAGGATAAGTGAACATGCTGTCAGTCTTAGATAATAAAAATGTGTTTGGTGCGATAAGGAATAAGCACACAGCCTTCACTCCTAAGTTTTCCAAGGGAATGTTTTATGAAACTGCTCATAAAGAGTTAATGAAAGACAGAGGGAGCTGGAATAATGTTTTCAAGCAATTTGTGGCAGTGAACATCTGATACTATTACGTTATGTCTCCAACTGACTGGGACTTCCAAGAACCTGAAACAACTGACAGGACTGAAGAGAAACCACATTTAGAAAATGATAGAGTTCAACACTCTCCCAGCGGCCGCAGGAAGTCACAAAACCAGTGAGGACGTGGGAGACACAAACACCATGAACCAACTTGATCTGGCTGACGTTACAGGACACTCCACCCAAGTACAACGAGGGCACATTCTTTACAAGTGACAGATCCTATGCTGAGCCATAAAGCAATCAGAAAGATATCTGGAAAAAATCCAAATATTTGGAGATTAAACGGCATAATTCTAAATAACTCATCAAAGAAAAAATGACAAAGGAAATAAAAAATATTTTGAATTGAATGAATATGAAAACACTACACGTTAAAAATTTTGTGTAATATGTCTACAACAATACTTAGAGGAAAATTTATAACTTAAAATGTTTATATCAGAAATGAAGAAAGGTCCAAATTCAATAATGTAAGTTTCCCCTTTATGAAACTAAAAATAAGCAAATTAAACCCAATGTTGATAGAAGGGAATAAAATGCCTCAATAAATGAAACAGAAAATGAACATACCATAGAGAAAAATTAATAAAAATAAAGGCTTTGGAAAAAATCAATACAACCAGTAAACTTCTAGCTAGAACTGATAAAGAAAAGGAGGAGAAGGAAGGGAAGAGAGGACTAAGAGAAGGAAGAGGGGAAGGGAGAGGAGGAGGAAGAGGAGGAGATGGGGAGGGAGAGAGAAAATAGAAAATTTCAGTACCAGGAATGAAAGAAGTGACATTACTACAGATACTACAGACTGCTAAAGAATAATAAGAGAATATTGTAAACAACTTTATACAAATAAATTTGATTACTTAGATGAACGGGACAAATTCATTGAAAGACAGAAATTATCGAAAGACTCAAGAAGAAACAGAGAATCTGAAGAGCCCTATAGCTATTGAATAAGTTTTCGCCCTGGCTGGTTTGGCTCAGTGGGTAGAGCGTCGGCCTGCGGACTGAAGGGTCCTGGGTTCGATTCCAGCCAAGGGCACATGCCCTGGTTGCGGGCTCAATCCCTGGAGGGGGGCATGCAGGAGGCAGCCATTCGATGATTCTCTCTCATCATTGATGTTTTTCTCTCTCTCCCTCTCCCTTCCTCTATGAAGTCAATAAAAGAAATATATTTTAAATAAATAAATAAATTTTGCAATTAAAAGTCCTACCACACAGAAAACTCTTAGCACAGAAGGCTTCGCTGGTGAATGCCACCAAATAAATACTCAAAGAAGAAATGCCATTTCAACACAAACATTTTCAGAAAATAGGGGAAAAAGGATACTCTCCAACTTACCTTCGTATTTGTCACCCTGATACGACAACCAGACAAGGACATCACAAGAAGACTATAAACTAGTATTTCTCATGAATTTAAATGAAAAATCTTTAATAATAGCAAACTGAATCTTGTAAAATATTTTTTAAATGGCAATACATCATGAGCAAGTGGGGTTTATCCCAGAAATAGAAGGTAGTCTAACATTCAAATTTCAACCAAAGTAAGTCATTATACCGGGGGGGGGGGGGGGGGGGGGGGGGGGGGGGCGGTGCGCAAAAGTAGGTTTACAGTTGAGTACTAGAAACAGTTGATCCTTGCATTGTTATTTAATAATTATTACATTATTTTCCGTATAAACAACTGGAAACCTACCTTTATCCCACTCTGTATTAAAAAAACAATGGGGGGGAAACATGTAAACGTCTCAACAGATCCAGGAAAAACATTACCCAATTAGACACCTGTTCATGACCAGGTGTCTCAGCAGAAAGGGGCCAGAAGGGAAGTCCCTCGACCTGATCAAGGGCAGCTACCAGCAAACCTATAGCTAGCACCGTCCTTAATGGCGAGACTGAAGCCTTTCCCCCAAGATCAAAAACAGGACTCTCACCATTTCTACTCACAACAGTACAGGAGGCTGTGATCAATGCAGTTAGGACAAAAAAATAAATACATAAATAAATGGAAGGTAGATAGATTGGAAAGAAATAGCTGTCATTATTTGCAGACAATGTGCTTATGTACACAGAAACTCTATATTTCTATATATTGGCATCAAATAATAAGGAAATTGAAGTAACATAAAAAACCATGACATACTTAGGGGTAAACTTTACAAAATATGTACAAGACTTATACACTAAAAACTACAAAACACTGTTTAGAGAAATTTAAAACAACTGAAATAAAATTGAGAAATATATCATAAGACTCAATATTGTCAAGATGTCGATTCTTCCCAAATTGATTTATAAAGTTAATGAAACACCAATCAAAATTCTAAGTGTCTTTGTAAAAATTAACAAGCTGATCTAAAACTTATGTGGCAATGTAAAGGATCTAAACTAGTCAAAATAATGTGGGGAAAAAAGAATATTGAAGATTTCAGAGTAATTTATTTAAAAAATTATTATAAAGCTACAGTTATCAACAGAGTAAGGTCCCGGTGAAAGAACAGACACAGATCAATGGAACAGAGTAAAGTCTAGAAAAGACCTTGACAAATACGATCAATTGATTTTCAACAAGCTGCCATGGTAATTCAGTGCGGAAAATGATAGTATTTTTAATAAATGTTGTTAGAATTAGGTACTAGTATGGAGAAAAACGAACCTTACCCTTCACCTTATACTTACATAAAAATCAACTTGAAGTGAATCACAGACCTAAGCATGTAAATAAAACTACAAAACCACTGGAAGAAAACAGAAGAGAAAATATCTGCAATCTGAGGCTAGCCGAAGATTTTTTTAGATAGGACACGAAAAACCATGAACCATAAAAGAAAAACTTAAGAAACTTACCAAAATTTGAAACTTCTGCCCTTTAAAAAGCACCATTACAAAAAAAAAGAGGCAAGCCACAGACTGGGCAAAAATATTTGCAAGTCATATATCTGACAAAGGACTTGTTAAAAGAATAAAAATCTCATAAAAACAACCCAATAAGAAAATGGGCAAAAGATCTATTCACGAAAGACATACACAAGAAGGTACATGCCAATACACACAGGAAGTGATGCCCAATGGCATGAGCTTTCAGGAAAATGCAAATTAAAGCCACTGTCAGATACTGTTCCACACCAATTGGAAACGTTAAAGTAAAAAGTGATAACAATGCAAAGTGTCGGCACAGATGAGGAACAACTGAAGCACTCACAACCGCTCACACACCGCTGGTGGGAATGCAAAATGCACAACCATCACACACCGCTGGTGGGAATGCAAAGTGCACAACCATCACACACCGCTGGTGGGAATGCAAAGTGCACAACCGCTTTGGAAACAGTCTGATAGAGCTGAGCACGCACTTATATGACACAGAAATTCAACTCCTAAAATTTAGCCAACAGAAATCAAACGTATTTCCACATAAAGACCTGGAAATAAATGATCACTGCAGTTTGTTTGTTTTTTCACAAAAGTCTGGAACTGGAAAGAGCCTAAATGTCAATCAACAGGTGAATGGATAAATAAGGAAATATTACTCAGTGATGAAAAAGAACAAACTACTGATTCACGCAACAAAACGAATAAATGTCAATATCGTGCTGAGAAAAAAAGCTGAGATAAAAGTCACAGTTAAAACGTGGTGATATGCAGAACAATATCTACTTGAATTTGGTGCGCCCCACCCCCCGACTCAACAACCGAAACCAGATCAGGTGATGTTATGACAACCTGGTGGTCAACTTTGCATAGGTAATAAGATCAAAGCTGCACTCTATCGTGTCCCCAACTATTCTCTATTTGTGCATCTCTCATACTCCCCCAAAACACTTACACTGCACTTCTTCACTGTCGTGATCATGATAAAGTCCCGTGACGGACTGTAGGTCCTACACGGTCCAGCCCCCACCTGCCCCGGCCACAGCGGTCTCCCGCTGTCACCTGACCAGCTGCAGCCTCGGGACGTTCCCACTGCTGTCTCCCTACCTGGGACCAGCTCTGCCACACCTCCCCACGGCTCAGCCGCTCGTCTCCTAAGTCTCTGGCAAATGAAACCCTCCCCGAGGCCTGTCCCGGCCACCTTAGTTAAGATCGCAACCCCCGCAACCCAGGCGGTCTCCTCCCTGCTCCCTCTGCAGCGCACCGTTCACCCTCTAACAGAGGGCACACCTGACTTATTTGTTCGTGTCCGTCTGCCCGGCACGCAGAAGGTGAGCTCCATGAAGGCGAGGCTCTCCCCTCTGCTGCTCACTGCTGGACCTCCGTGCCCAGGGGGCGCCCGGCCCGGCACACAGCGCTCAGCTGACGTGTGCTGAGTGGGTCTGCTAGACAGCCTGTTGGTTCAAGGACCTGGTCTGCTTCGCCGTGACTGCCCAGAGCCGAGTGCACGTTAAGCGCGTGGTGCTGGCTGCACATCCGAGGGGCCCCTTCCTCACCTGTAACTGCTGCTGCAGGTGGGTGATTTCGGCGATTCGCAGCTCCCGGGACTTGTTTGTGCTCTCAATTTCTTGCCTTTGGGTGGCCAGTCGACATCTGATATCTTGAAGTTTTCCTTCAAGCTGATGCTTTTTGTCATTCTTTAACAGATGAAAAGTAATAAAAATTATTACCATTTTAATTGTTTGATGTTAATATAGTCCCAAAGCAAAATCCAACTTCACTCACCAGAGCTTCTAATTCAAATTCCAAAGTCTTCTTCTTGGCCTTCAGTACAACTATGTCTTCTTGTTCTTTGTTTCTTTGGTTTAATAGTTCCTGTCTTCGATTTCGCTCCCATTCAAGTTGTCGCTGCCTTTCAAGTTCTCGTTTTGCAGCCTGGGACACACAGAAACAGATGATTTGTTAACTGTTCAGTTCTTACACTATACAATGTCTCTTAATAAATGATAACAGCGGGTAAGTCTTTTCTGTTAGGGATGAAATATTATTAAACATTTTGAGAAATTCCATTACAAAATAGGAAAATAAAACTTAGATCAGCGGTTCTCAACCTGTGGGTCACGACCCCGTTGGGGGTCGAATGACCCTTTCACAGGGGTCACCTAAGACCATTGGAAAACACATATATAATTACATATTGTTTTTGTGATTAATCACTATGCTTTAATTACGTTCAATTTGTAACAATGAAATTGGGGGTCACCACAACATGAGGAACTGTATTAAAGGGTCGCAGCATTAGAAAGGTTGAGAACCACTGACTTAGATAAATACAGCGGTTAAAAAATCTGCACTGAATCCCCACCCTTTCCACCAAACAAACCTTCGTGTCCCTACACTGCATATGAATGCAGAGGAAAAGTCTGGAGAAATACTTAACCGATATCAGTGGCTTGTTATGAAACTGTCTTATCAAAAACTTGTACATGAATGTGCGTAGCAAAATTACTCATAGTAGCCAAAAAGTAGAAGTAACCATATCCAACTGATGAATGGACACGTAACAAGTGGTATATTCGTGTAAAGGATATTATTCAGCCACAGAAAATGATACAGCACTGACTCATGCTAGAATGTGGATGAACCTGAAAACAGAATGTAGTGAGAGCAGACACCAAAGGCCACACACTGTGGGACCCGGTCCATGAAATGGCCAGAGAGAGACCGACATGGACAGAAGGTCATCAGTGGGGTTTAAGGGATGGAGGGGGAGGGGAGCGTAACTGCTTAAAGGGCAAGGAGTTGCTTAGGGGGGTGGAATGTTCTGGAATTAGATCTGATGACGGCTTCACAGTTTCCGAATGTACTGAAACCGCAGGGCTGTAGAAAGAAGGACCGTGACACGTTCCCGGGCTGCGAAGGGCTCACCTCGCGCCGCTCGATCTCCTTCCTCCGCTCCTCCTCGCGCTGCCGCTCCAGCTCCCGCTGCTTCTCCAGCTGCTTCTCCAGCTCCAGCTGCCGCTTGCGCTCCTGCTCCTGGCGCTCGCGCTCCTTGCGCTCCTGCTCCGCGCGCTCCAGCTGCGCCAGGCGCTCCTGCTCCTTCCGCTGCTGCTCCAGCAGCGCCTGCCTGCGCTTCTCCAGCTCCAGGTTGCCGCGCTCGAAGTTCTCACGCTTCTTATCTTCAAATGTCACTTTGAAACGAGAAACAAACAGCTGTGAAAAGTCATACTCAACAGGCCCTTGTGGAAGGAAGAACCCGAGGCACCCCTGAATCTGTGGCACGAACGCACACCAGGCCCTGCGCTCCCTCCTGCCTGTGCCCTGTTTGCAAGCAGCGACAATGCCTTCCCTCGCTCCTTGCCCGCACACTCCCCCTTCACGATGAGTGCCGCATCATGGCGTTCAGAACGCCATTTCCAAAGACCCTTCCTACGGCAAGTCTGCGCCGCCTACAGCAACCCCCTCTCCTGTGGTGACTCTATCCGTCTCCTTCTCCATGACCTGGACTCGGCAGCTGACCCCATGCACTGCCCTGATCACTCTTTACATGGACATTTAACCCTCAGTTACACATCACCTTCTAGAGGCATGGACAACGCATTCTTAACATTTAGACTCTTCACTGTGCTCAGCACACTCGCACGAAGAACATTTCCACTGAGTGGCTTATCAGTGAACAAACTAATTTAAAGAGGAAACGGAAAACTAGTGTCCTGAGCATGTCGGTTAACCACCAAGCACTTTAAATGCAACAAGACAACATTGACGAAGTACTGAGCACAGAAACTCCCTAATACATTTCACTTACTTGTTAGTATCGCTATCATCACCATTAATAATTCACAGCTACCTTAGAATCCTATATAATAAAAGTCTAATATGTAAATCGACCAAACAGCGAACGACCAGTCACTATGACGTGCACTGACCACCAGGGGGCAGACGCTCAATATAGGAGCTGCCGCCTGGTGGTCAGTGTGCTCCCACAGCGGGAGCGCCACTCAGCCAAAAGCCAGGCTCATGGCTGGCAAGTGCAGTGGCGGTGGTGGGAGCCTCTCCCGCCTCCGCAGCAGTCGGACATCCCCCGAAGGGTCCTGGACTGCAAGAGGGCACAGGCCAGGCTGAGGGACCCACCCCCCCAACCACCACACTCAAGTGCACAAATTTCATGCACCGGGCCTTTAGTATTTTAATATTGTGATGGGGTTATCCTTGTAAATGAGGATTATTTACATGTTACATTTAAAATAGCTTCTTGTTATTATGGCATTTCCAATTCTCCCAAACAACATGAGAAAGTAACAGTAGCAATTTTAGTTCCTATTTCTGGTGGTATTAAGCAATCTCCTTAAAGACTTATTGAGTGCTATATAAATAACATTTATAAGTTTTTTGTTTAGTGAATAATCCGATGTCCATGTAAAAGCTGGAACAAGGGTGTGTTTGCAGAGTACACAACGTTCTCATCTCTATGCATACATGCAAATCCAAAAGCACATTAACGTGCTTCCTTTCTAAGGGCGGCTAAAGGGACACAGCCGAATGTCATCAGGCTTATTTCTGCCTCTATCTCTGCCTCGGAGATGAAAACCTCTGAGATGATAGAACTCGAATGCAAGTTACCAGGCAACTTCTTTTCTAGCTGCTGCTCGTCTTCTAACACGGGCTCCTCTGGCAGCCTCTGGTCCACCGAAGCCGAGCTCAGGGCAGACACGCCGCTGCCAGAGCGAACTCGCCTGCGATCGTGGAAAAGAAGAAAAAAGAAAAGTGACGTCAAGCTGTCCAGGTGGGATTGAGCAAACTGTGGAAAAGATTTTTAAAAGATTAGGCTCTATATCATGGTATTGTGAGAGAGAAAAGACTTGATCCTCACTATTTGCAAAGTTTATAGAAATAAGTACTTGAAGTCATCAGGCTCAGTGCCAAGCGTGTTCAGATGTTCAGAACCACCGCCAGAATTAGGGCCACCCCAAAGAAATGAATCCGTGAGCAGCCCCAGGCGGCCAGAACAGGCCGGACACAGGAGGGGTTCGCGCCTTCGCCATCACCATCACCTTTATGGGAGTGTACGCCGCCTGGACCCGCTCACTGGGAGCATCTCATTCCCTTTATATAACGTCTGTCCGTCTTACTGCTTCGTAAACATGGAACGTCTGCACTTTGAAGCCCTTAAGCACGTGGGTGCCTGATGGGTTCCACTGGACTCGTTAACCTGCTCTCAGTTCCAGAGCCGCCTCTGAGCGCCCCCCGCCCCCCACCTCCCGGGGCCTCAGACACTGCCGCCCCGGCGGTCTGCTCAGCCTGCCCGTCCCGGCACCGGCTGACAGTGACGGCTCCATCTCTCTTGCTCTTACGGATACCTTTCCTGCAGCCTTTCCTCATGTTTGAGGAATTAGTACAGAAACTCTTATCTTTCTCTCCCTGTGCTGTAGGGTCTCCATTTGTCTTTTCCGGGGCCTGCCTGGGAGGGAGTGGGTGCTGGGGAGGTGGAGGATGCTGGTGGCTGAGGTTCTCCCACTGGACCTCGGTCCCCTCTCCGCACCCCCAGTTCCCTTCCTGACTATCACGTCTCCATCGCCAGAGCCCCCTTCTCTCCCCACCGGCAGGAGTCAAGGCAGGCTCCCTGCTTTGCTGGCCACGGACAGGCACGGCTTCATGCTGCTGAGACTTCTGCGAGCTTCAAGGACACAGGTCGGTAGAAACAGCTCCCGCCTTTCGGCGTTTTACTAACACGGGCAGACCTCGCTTTACCGCGCTCCACAGAGACTGCGTTTTTTACAAACTGAAGAAGGAAAGACCCTCCACCAGCAAAAAAAAAAAAGGTTTCGCCTTCAGTGTCCCCGAAGCCTGTACATGAGCCCAGGCGAGCACAGAGCTGGACAGGGTTCTCCTGAGCTCGAGGATGACTGGTTTACTTGCCAGGAGTAACAATGACTAGGACAGAGCCACGTCTGACAGCTGCACGCGGGGCACATGGGCTCCCCGAGGTGCTCCTTACCGAAAGGAGGGCGGGATGTACTCCGCGGGCAGCACGGGCGGCAGCGGCTGGCCGGCCATGGCCACGTCGATGAGGTGCATGGCCAGGATGAACTCCTCCGCTGTGAGCTTCCCGTCTTGGTCAATGTCAGAGAGGTTCCTATTCAACAAGAAGCTCACTGTGATCTGGTTTCACGGAGACGCACGCTGGTTACTGCTCATGCGTCATCTAAATGTTCTATTTTCTTATTTTGACTCCAGGCCAATGAAGTCTCTCTGTGCCTCCGTTTATAAAAACAGCACCTATTTCATACTGCTGTGGCAACAATGAAATGAGACAATCCATAGCGCTGACAGGGTGGTTAGCATCCAACAATGTGACCTACGGTATAATCATACTCTTCTCTACCCTGCAAGCCCACTTAAAACGTGTCATACTTACATTCTACGTGTACTTAACACTGCTCAGCAAACTAGCAGGTCAGGCAGGACTATTTCAGCTTCACAGGACACAGTCTCTAACACTGAATTCTGTCTTTGTAGCAGGAAAGCAGCCACAAATGACATATAAACAAATGGGCAGGGTCGTTACCATAAAACTCCTTTTACACAAGCAGGTGCAAGCCCCGGGCTCAGGGGCCACCCCTGATCTAGGCCTCGCGGGATCTCTATGGCCTCCAGCCACAGCTGAGGTGTTTTCTGCTCTTCAATCTGAGGACTTGATCCCCACAGCTCTTCATCACCAACCTGCCCTCGTAGCTGATTCGCGTAAACAGATTTTCCTAGCAAGTCCGAGACTGTGCTTCCACTTAACCTGTGGACAGCAAGAGCGGAGGGGACAGAGCTGCTCACAGCATGTCGACAGGGCGGAGGCCATCCTGGGAGCTGGCCTGGCCGAGGCCTTAAACCAAGAAACTCCTCTTAAATCTGACCTTTCCTCAGAGAGAACACCAACTGATTAACTTAAGAATTACTATTAAAATTAGGCGGAATAACTGGTATTATAGTCACGTTAAAAAAAAATCCGTCTCTTTTGGAGACACAAGCTGAAATATGAGCAGATGAAAATGATATCATAACAGAGTTGGCTGTAAATAATCGGAAAGAGGAGGGAGGACCAGGCTGGCCACAAGTGGAAACTATTTAAGTGAGGTTATGAGTTCTTGAGAGCTCATTATATTACTCTGTCTGCTTTTGCATTTTCCAAAATCAAAATGGGAACATGTAAGACAGGTAATCATTACAAGTCATTGAAAAAGTAAGCATATTCCATGCCCCCCTATAAATAATGGTATTAATCGGAAGACTGGTGAAGCCATCCCGATGTAAGAAACCAAGGACCTCTATTTATATAGGGTGTCCCAAAATTCACGCAAGATTTGAATTTTGCGTGAGCATTAACAACAACAACAAAAAATAAAAGCCAATTTTACTTTGGTTTATTGAATCAGATTCTAATATCTGTTGCCCTTTGATTTCAATCCCTTCAATTTGATAAGCATTACCAAGTACCAATTATGGCCCAGGAGCAGGGACAACGCGGAACTGGAACAGCAGACCAACAGACCAACGAAGACCACGGCTTTGCGTATGTGCCAGCAAAGCCGTGGAGGCCATTTACCCGATGTGCTATTCCATACATAACCCTACACTGTATACTTTATGAATCAATAAAAAATTTACAATTTTTAATTATAAACCTGTGTTTTCTATCAAAATTACTTCTTGCGTGAATTTTGGGACACCCTATACAAACCAAGGCCGTCCGTTCCTCCCTTACCAGATAGAAGCCAGCTGCGCCTGCGGCAGACTTGACTGCATGAGAATCGTTCTTGCCTGGGGACCTGAGCAAAAGCCAGAAGAAAGTGTCACGTGAACCAGCAAATCGCCACAGTCCAACCCCCGGCCACGCAACCCCACCAGCCACCGCTTCAAGCATTCACTCTCACTCCAGGGGCTTTTCAAAAGGAAACTAAACCCCAAGGGAAACGGGGAAACACACAGCACATAGTCCACGCCTGTGACACGGATGACGAAGGAAGGGTGAGTGGAAAAATCAGCTTCGAACTAGAACCGCCCCTCGGTCCGGAGTATCATCTCCCTCAGAGTGAGGCTCCACTGCCAAGGCTGAAGGCGTTCTGTCTAAAGCCAGCGGCGTATCCACACCTGCTGCCCCCCCACGCCGACCATCAGATCAGCCAGGGAAGTGGCAGAGAGCGATAGGGGAAGGGACCTCACCGAGAGCCATTTCAGTACAGCTGTAACCAGAAACAGCGACGTGCTCACGGTTGCACAATATCTTGGCTAATAGCACACAGTCAAAAAGAATTCCTGGAATTTCAACTCTCCTCTAAAATCAGCTCCCATTCTGGAATTCTTGTAAATGCCCTCCCTCCGGGAACTAAACGAGCCCTCGGTGTCCCAGGCTGCAGGGGCGCGGAGTGTCCCCTCACCGGCACCAGGAGGGACGGGCGTCTCCCTCCCGCACAGCGTGCCCCGGGGGCCAGGTCCCAGGATGGCCACCGGGAGTGGAGAGCGGCGGCAACCACGGGGAACATTCCTTCAGCTCTTTCTCTTTCCAGAGAGCACCGCCCGAGGAAACACGAGTGGGCCTTTCCACAGGGATTGCCGAGGGTGAGAGGTCGCCGAGCACGGCAGGTTCCCGCAAAGGAGGCCCCAAGAACGCCAGCAAAAGCACTGTGACCGGGGGCTCGGGCCTGCTCAGTCCAGGATGTGCTAAGGGGCTGGGCAGGCAGCATCCTCCCTAACTCTAACCCTAACGCTAACCCTAACGCTAACCCTAACCCTAATGCTAACCCTAAGCCTAATGCTAACCCTAACCCTAACCCTAACCCTAACCCTAACGCTAATGCTAACCCTAATGCTAACCCTAACCCTATCCCTAACCCTAACCCTAACCCTAACCCGTTCCACATTTCCAAGTTGATGACCCATCGCACAAGGAGCCATAGCAGGAGCTTGGCCCAGGGCCAGCACAACGAGCACACAGAAAGCGCTCAATAAAGGGCAGTCACCTCACTGTCAATAGTCTGCCTTGCATATAAGAGCACGCATGAATGGCTTTGCACATGTGCACATGGACGCAGCTTAATGAGTTCCAGACTGGCAATGGCCTAGCAAACAGCACCAGGGAGCAGCACCCCCAAAGCCCCTGGAGCTCCCTTCAATCGCCCCTCCCACCAAGTGCAGCTGATTCCTAACGGCAAAGTGCGCCAACGCTAAGTCTGGCTGATTTGCTCATCGTGTTATTACTGTACGTTGCTGTAGAACATAATCCTAACCGCTCTGTAGTATATCACAGTTTGGAGCTATTATGAATAATGAACATTCTAATTTGGGTGAACATACGTATACATTCCTTTTGTGTGCACAATGGAAACACCTACGAATAAAACACAATCCATTGAATTAATGTGAAAGGCTCTGTGATGTATTGGAATGAAAAAGTTCACTGTTCCTTTTATTTCATCCCTAACGCTGTATTTAGAATTGGCAACATGAAAGTTGAATTTCTACTCAAAGTAGCATCTGAATATGTTTTAATCAACTCATGGCAGACACCAGGTGCTGTAGGAAAGGTCTCAGACTCACGGCAGCACAGTCCTGGGGCGGAATGGAGCTCCGGGACCGAGCACACCACGCCCAGCAGCTGACAGCGCCCCTGCCCAGGGATCCCCAGTGCCGGGCACGGCGGGCTCCTCACGCTGCGTGTAACGGCCGTGTGCAGAGGAAGGCACAGAGGACGCGTGTAACAACCGTGTGCAGAGGAGGTACAGAGGATGCGTGTAACGACCATGTGCAGAGGAAGGCACAGAGGACACGTGTAACGACTGTGTGCAAAGGACGCGTGTAACGAGTGTGCAGAGGACGCATGTAACGGCCGTGTGCCGAGGAAGCACAGAGGATGCATGTAACAACTGTGTGCAGAGGAGGCACAGAGGACGCGTGTAATGGCCGTGTGCAGAGGGAGGCACAGAGAACGCGTGTAATGGCCGTGTGCAGAGGGAGGCACAGAGAACGCGTGTAATGGCCGTGTGCAGAGGGAGGCACAGAGAACGCGTGTAATGGCCGTGTGCAGAGGGAGGCACAGAGGATGCGTGTAACGGCCGTGTGCAGAGGAGGCACAGAGGGTGCGTGAGGCTGTTACAAATACATGCTTGTTTGAGGGGTGCTGAGATCTGTGGGGTGGGGGTCACGGTTGTATCAGAACCCTTCAAAGGTCTCACCAATCCTGACATTTTTAAACAAGAGTAAAAGTTTCTGTTAGAAGTAAAAACTGCAATTGAGACAGAAAAAAGAGACAGACAGCGCGCACTGAAATGAAGTGCTGGGCTGCACCCCAGTGTGTCCCGTCCCGGAAAGCGGGCCTCCGCCTCCCTTCGCCTTGGTCAGCGGGCAGGGCCTCCTTCCCCTTTGCCCTGAAGGTCCTGTCAGAGGCCTCGCTCTCCTTTACTAAAAGCGCGCTCTTCTCCACGACGCTCCGAGCAACCCTCAGGAAGGGCTCTAGACCAGCGGTTCTCAACCTGTGGGTCGCGACCCCTTTGGCGGTCGAACGACCCTTTTCACAGGGGTCGCCTAAGACCATCCTGCATATCAGATATTTACATGACGATTCATAACAGTAGCAACATGACAGTCATGAAGTAGCAACGGAAATAATTTTATGGTTGGGTCACCACAACATGAGGAACTGTATTTAAAGGGCCAGAAGGTTGAGAACCACTGCTCTAGACGCTCTCCCAAACCCTCCTCCCGAGACCAGGTAGCTGCACTCTGGCCTCTTACCCATGAAGTCAGATCCAATAGGTAGAGTGGCCTCCACCGCGCTGGTGGCAGAGCTGGGTGCCCCCCCTCCCCTGGCAGTCACCTCTCCCCTCTCACGGCCTTAAGCCTGTGCGTGGCAGCGCCCAGTTCACCTACGGAGCCCACTCGGGACCTGGCGCGGGGTTCCCAGCAGGGTTTCTCTGCCAGGGCCGCTGTGCACGCCAGCGAGGCAGCCGGGAGGAGGGTCCGGTCTCCTTCCATTTACCAAGAGCAACGGGCAGACGCCTGAGGCACTGAGGGCACAGGAACCATGGCGGCATCAGGGCGGGGGGAGGGGGGGGCGGGCAGGGGTAGGGACCAGGGTAAGAACCCCAGTGAAAGCCCTGTTCCCAAAGAGCAAGTGGGGAAAGGCTCGGAGACGCTCTTTGGCCCAACGGCTAGAAACAACGTGCCTTCCGAACAAAGCCCACGCTCGCCACGCTCACTCTCCTCTGCAATACCTGTGAGGTGTCCGCTCATGGTCTTGTCGTGGCTGTTGAACAGCTGGCGGTACTTGAGCCTGGACGACTGGGGCACCGCCCACTCAGCCAGCGGCGGGGCGCTGCGGGAGGGAGAGAGGGAGGCGTGAGCAGCAGCACCGCCCAGGAGTGTTGGTCCGGCTTGACCTCTGCTCACTTCTGAACCACAATTTCTGAATGTTCTGTAATGAGTCTGTCCACCTTTTAAGGCCGTGAGCGTCTCTTTCATAAGAGATACAAATAAGCGTATGATTTTTCCAGAATCAAGGGTAAGCGCAACACGGCTTTTATACACGATTTAATCATCTCAAGGGCCTACACAGGTATGGACCCTCGGAACTGAGATGATCCGACAATGTCCAGGCTTTCACGCTTCTAGAGCGTTCTCTCCTGGTTTAAACAGCAGTGCTGATCGCCAACAAGCCCCTCCCTGTACAGGTACTAATTCTCCAAAAGTCCAACCTTCTACGCACCAACACACAGGATGTATTTCTTTTTTTTTTTTAATTGTTTTATTGCTTAAAGTATTACAAAGAGTATTATATATGTCTCCTTTTTTTTTTTTTTCTCCCCTCAGGATGTATTTCTTAATGCAGGCAGTCATTCTGTTCCGGGAAGTTTCAATTCCCACAAATGGAGGCCTTCCCAGAAAGGAGCACAGGCGCAGGGCCCTGGCACCCGTGGTGGCGGCGGGAGCTGGCTCGGCCCGCCCGGAGTACAGCCCGGCCTTGGCCGCGGAGAGCAGGGCCCACAGCGTCACTGGCCCCGGGGCTGTGAAGAGCCAATAACTTACACACAATGACAGCAACAGCGCGTTGCGTTCCAGGGCTGGCGACGCCTAGTGCCCTGTGCCATTTCCTTTCATTGCCACGAAAACACCTATTCCTCACATGCAAAAGCGAACTGTAACCATCAGCTGAACCTGTGAGCATCCTGTAGCGATGGGACGTGAGCACTCACACCTAGTACAGCGCTTCACACGCACAGGAACTGGCCCCCGGCACGGGAAGCACCTGCACAAGCTCACCTTTTCCCTTTTTATGAATGACGCTGAACAAAAGCACTTACCAACGCCTCGCCTGCTGCGCGTACTTCTGCAACAGCTCCCTCATTTTCAGCTAACGCCTAGCTGCTGGCTCCAGCTCCTGACTATCTGTCAGAGCTGGTTATCGGCCCCCTGCACCCCGGGCTCGGGTGCTGCGCACAGAAGTGGCCCCAGATTACACTTATCAAGGCAGAGTTTCCTGCCAACTTCCTGAGAATGTAAACAGACTAAAAATTCATCAACAGGTAGCCAAAAAGCTAGAGGCCACATTACAGGAATTTGCTAGAAGTTTAAATGACTGAAAAGATGACTGCCTAAAAAAGTGTCTTCATAGCACCAATGTTTGCTGAATACTGGTTATTTATTCATTCTAATGTCATAAATCAACGTCAGGACAGACTGACCATCCAGCGGAGAGCAGAGCCAGCCGAGCCTCCGGCGTGGCGCTGGAGGGAGAAGATTGGAGTTCAGGGCGCGAGGACCCGAGTGTCCACCTCAGCTGTGCACTGGTCAGCTGTGACCCTGGGTGAGCAGCGGCCTCTCTGGGTCCATCTCCCCGGGCACAATTCTGAGACACTACTTCCTGCCCAGGAGGAGGTGGGTGGGGCGGGGCTAACGAGGTGTCTGCTAAGCAGATGCTCAGCAAAGGTTCCTGAGTCTGAGTGTAGAACCTCAGGGAAGTGGAACACAGATGTCTGTCACCACAGTAACTGGAGTGTGTATGTTTTCTTTTAGTAACTGAAGTTTTGGGAGCAAACTCCCACAGGTAAGGACATGCCTTAAAATCAGCAAGAGCTCGGTCCAACCCCGAGCCCGGGCACTGAAGGGCGATGCTCGTTTGAGCAAGTCTCTTAGTGTCTCTGAGCTCCTTCCTCATCTTCCCACGGGGACAGGAAGAGTCACTTTACGGGGGAGAGAGGGAGCATTAAATGAGGGAATGGACATAAAGCATTTGGCACAGTGCTTTTCCGTTTACAGATTTTCTTTAAATCGTTTTTTAAAAGGTGATGCATTTGAATTATATCCAACACACTTTTTAAAGTGGAAACGCCTTGATTCACTTAGGGGAGATTTCTAAAGAGGACTGAGACAGAAAAGATGGATTGTCTTCACTACATTCCCTTGTCCTTCCAGAGGTTCTGAGATGGCTTACCAGCCGATCTTAATTTTCCAGCTTAGTGCAGCCACACGCGGGGAGAAGTAACGGTAAAAGAAAACTGAAGTATGAAAGATGACATGAAACCAAGATTGGCCAAAATATAAGCAATGAAATCATGCAAGCTTTGCCAAAATTGAGGCACATACTTGGTGGACAGCACCTGTCCACTAATCTGAATAATCCATTTCATAAAAATTGACCTTAAATAGGGTTCTGTCGATTCTCAAGGACTACATAAGGTTATCTGAGCTGGAATTTAAAATAAGGCCAATTATTGCTCTCATCTTCATATAAAACATTTGTAAACTTTTCATGACTAACACACAATAGTTAACTTGCTTTCTCCCCTGACACCTCGAGTTGCATTTGATTCGATTTAAACATTTACTACTACCCATCCTCTTAAAAAACATCTTTTAAAGGAAACGCCATGTCCTTGATGCTGTAAACAAACACATGTAAAACCAGAAGTGAGAACATTTTGCCGTTCTACAAAAGAACGGTGATAAAGAACACAGCTTGCTCATTTTCACATTTGTGAGTTATCACGTTAATACTTGAACCAAACTGCCCGTTTAAAACAGGCGCACTTACCTCGCCACGTCGAGCGAGGGCGCCTTCTGTAACTTAGTGTTCAGCTGGGACCCTGGGCCAGACCTACTAAAAGAAGAACTCTTTGGCAATGTGGCTGCTGTAAAAATAAATAAATGTTGAATAATTTTAATTCCACACAGATAAGAAACCTTCCCCCCTGCTTACAAAAATGAAAAAGCAGAGCCATCAAGTCTGAGGCAGAAATCATTCCTCCTTCCTTCCCCATCCTGGACTCAAAACGTTATTCCCGCCTTGCTTCCCACCCTCTTGCCAAATGTTTCTAGATTTACTTGTTCCCACTGAAAGGCACCTAAGTAGTAATGTGTACACCCACAAAACTTTACTTTCATCAAACACTTGGTATCATATTTCATAAGATCTGTCAACAGTCAGCGAAGGAAGAGCTTAAATATATGGACGGCACATTCCTCACTGCACTGAGGAGCTGAAGGGAGTCCTGAGTGGAGGAGATAGAAGTCCCAGGGCCAGGTACCGCGGGGCGCTGGGGGCGGGCAGTGGGGGCGGCTGATTTGCATTGCGGCTGCTGGGCCGCGTCAGGGAAAGCTCTGGGCACAGTCCCTCGTCCTTGCCTAACGTCCTGCAGGCCTTGCCCGCAGCCACAGGAGAAAACAGGAGGTGCTGGAGGCACCACATCCCTGGAACCACTGCAGGCGCTGTCTCGAGGCCAGCACGTCTGCAGCCGCGGTCACATGTGACAGATGAACCACATGTGACAAGAAAATCTTTTAAAAAAGAGGTTCAGCCCGGCCAGTGTGCCTCAGTGGTTAAGCGTGGACCTATGAACCAGGAGGGCACAGTTCAATTCCCGGTCAGGGCACAGGCCCGGGTTGTGGGCTCCATCCCCAGTGTGGGGTGTGCAGGAGGCAGCTGATCAATGATTCCCTCTCATCACTGATGTTTCTCTCTCTCTCGCTTCCTCTCCTTTCCTCTCTCTGAAATCAATAAAAACATATAAAAATTTTAAAAAGCTTTAAAAGAGGTTCACTTACATTCTTTGGCTGTAACTCAAAGACACACCCTGAGAGATGTGGTAAACCGGGGCTGAGCGCAGGGATCATGTTCAAATGCGAACGCCCAACTGTCATCAGCACCAAATTTACTCGAACATCCAAAACCCTTTAACAAGCACACGCTCCGTGTCGTACGACCTCAGTAACATTTGTCAGACTACGGCTGTCTCCATTTATACTCCAGCTTTCTTTCAATGAAAGGGGAAAAGGCTTTGGATAAAGTTTCAAAATGAAACTAGGAACTTTTTCATCCTTTTCTTCAGCTCAACAAGTATATATACCTTAATCAGCCTCACACCTTCCATTTGAGATGTTGAAAACAATGAGAAATTAAATGAAAATACTTTCCTCTGGAATAAAACTCCACTTGAATATAATCAGAAAGAAGACAGAGGTTTATCGAGAACGTGTGGCACCTACCAGGATGGGCGAACGCAGGCAGCGGCTGCATGACCGGGGGCGCCCCGTTGGCCAGGGGAGGCACTGCTGCTGGAGGGACGGAGGAGACGAGGGGGGGGGACATCCCGACCACGGGGAGGGTCCCCATTGGCACTGGCGCGACCGCCGGCAGCGGGGGCATGCTGGCCAGGCCGCCCACACCTGCGGGGGAAGGACGGCGGTCACACGGAGGCACGTTTCAACGTTCAGTGACCAGGACCCAGGACTGCGGAGGAGCTTCCCTCTTCTCACCTAGTCCCCCCAGAACACGCACTCGGGCACTCACGTGGGAGAGCACCAAACTGTGAGGCACCCAGACCCCACGGAGGAGGGTCCCCTGGCCAGAGGGAAGGACCAACCGAACAGTCACTGCAAAGCTCTGGCAGCAGCACAGAACCAGACTCGGGAGCTCACAATGGCCTTCAAAACCAACCAGCCAAAACCCTGGCTGGTCACCACAGGTAATTTATTTTGAAAACTAGCAAATAAAGGGGAAATAAATCCGAGCTTTCTCCTGCCTGTCCTTTACACACTGAACCTCAGAGCAGCCAGAGATCTGAGGGGCCGTCGCTCCTTCCAGAAGGATTCCAACCAAAAAATGGAGAAATGAGAGAAGTGCAATGAATGCTTCCTTCCTGCTCGGCTCTTCTCATCCCGTGACTGTGAGGAGAGACCCCGCCCGTCTTCGCCCAGTGCCTGGTCCTGAGCCCCTGTACTTCCCTGACGGACAGCCACAGCCTCTGCTGCAATATCCGCTCTTGGTCCTTGGTCCCGACGCAAGAACTTCCCCGACCCGGGAACCTCTGCAGGGATGTTTCTGCACCTAAATGAGGTCGCTGAGGGGGTGGGGGTCCCTGAATAGCTGAGGGCTGGGAGCCGGGACAGGAAATACGAAGACATGACTGGAGTCTAGAAAGTCCCACCCACCTGCGTGGGGGAGGGGGCTGGAGGGGCGACAGCCGATGGCCCGTGACTGAGTCCCTCACGAACCCCCCATGAGAACCTACACGGAGGGCTTGGGCAGCTTCGGGCTGGGGAGCACCCCAACTTCACAGGCCCTGCGCTCAGGACCCGCCCTGGGCAGTCTCCCTGGCTGCTCATCTGTCCCCTCAGAATAGCCTTTGTTTTATAACAAACCGGTAGATGTAACCCGAAGTTTCTCCAAGTTTTGTGAGCTGTTACAGCAAATTAGAGAAAAGGGGAGACGGGTGTGTGGGGACCCCTATGTCGGGAAGTCACACAGACGTGTGGGGCCTGGGGACCCATTACTGGTGACTCACGTGGGGACAGTTGTGTGTGACAGCCTTTAACCGTGGACTGCTAACCCGGTGGTCCGTGTGGGTCGAAGGGAATTTCTCGACACTAAGTTAGTGTCCGGAGGGTTGAGACACTGGTTTTCTGGACATGGATCTCCTGGTCCCTTCTGCCCTTGGGCCCTAAGTAGGTCCCTCCATGTCCTCCTGGCGCAGAGCGCAGGCGGTGAACTCGCTCCAGCTCCAGCTCCGCTCCTGCAGGCCGGGCGCCTTCTCGCCCGCAGCCCGAGAACGTTCCGTGTCGCCAGGACGCAGCTCCGTGGGAGTCTTCCTGGCATGCGGCTCACGCAGCTCCCAGCCTCACTGCCCGAGTCCCGGCCCCGCTCCCGCGTCCTTCAGGGGCCCCCACTGGCCCCCAACCCCCGCCTGCAGCATCCGCCACCTGTCTCCAACTTCCCATCTCCTTTTCATTGCCACGTGTGCAGCCTTCCCCTCTTCACCGCCCACTTCTCTGCAGACTGTCCCGTGTGGCTTCGGCGTCAGCTTCATCCTGAACGGCCTTTGCTCTCACTGCCCCCTCCCCGGGCTGTCGCCTTCTCGCCTGGGAAGCAGAACTGCTTGGCTCCCAGGACCAGGACCCGCAGCTTCTCCTCAGGCGGCTCAGCTCCTGCAGCTCAGCTCCTCGGGGCGCGGGCTCTTCCCTCTTTTCTAACGATGACGCGGGGCTCTGCCTCCACACCCACCGCCTGGCTCAGCACCGCGCTGCCCCTGGGCCTCCAGCCCCGCGCCCCCGCCTCCTGTCCTGACCTCCACCGAGTGGCTGCTCCAGCTCCGGCTGCGGCTGCGGCTCTCTCTGGATGCTCCGGAGTACATGCAGCCACTGCGCCGGCCTCGGAGCTGCTCTGACGATGCTGTCCACGTTCTTTCTCACCAAGGAGCCATCGCACAGCGGGTGTGACAGCACCGCCCGGGAGCCTGTTCTCCTCTGAGTGGATGGAGTCTTGTCCCCGCAACTGCTCCTCAGTCACGGAGCTTCCTCCTACCCACACACTGTGGGGCCTTCCCGTCCCAAACCCCCCTCCAGCGCCTGCGCCTCCAGCTCCACGCGCCCCTCAAGCCTCCGACCAGGCTCCAGGCTCCTGCCCAAGGTCATCCATAGCCCCAGCCCGCCCCGGCCTGTCTTCCGCCCTCATCTCTTCCCTTCATCCCCTGGCAGAGGCACCCGGGGCCTGACCGGTAACCAGGGGCTCCACCTGATACTGTGACCTCTCCATCAACCCACACGGCCAAGGTCTGCGCTGTGAACAGACATCAGAGCGCTGGTGATCTCAGTCAACTAATTACCGGTTGGTTTTGAAGAAAAATATCAGCCTAAAAGGTAATATTTTACAGAATCCGGTTTATGACTGGGGTCACACTGCTCATGCTTTTCCTACTTCGTTTTGTTCCGAGAGAATTTCATGTGGCCAATCGCCTCAATACTGCGAACTTGAAAATATATTTTGAGGCACCATAACCCAAAGGGGTTGTTTATACACAAGAGAAAGGAAAGGCACTATGGAGACAGAAACCCAGAGGAAGTCTGCGACAACGTGAGGTCAGCACCGCAGTGGGAGGAGAAGACAGGAGCCGCACGCAGCAGGTGCGGGGTACCCGCCACCGACTCTGCCCCCGTCACCTGCGAGCTGGTCCAGGGGCGGCGGCGGGAGCTCGCTCCTCCCAGCACCTCCTTCCTCCCTGCGACCATCCCTTCCCCACCGGGCACCTCCGGGACTGCACTGCACTGTGCCAGAGGCTGCGAGGGGGAGGGAAACGTGTCTGTAAACTGCACGGGGAGCTGCCGGACCCGTTCCTGCTCACACTCACCGAAGGCTGGTGCGCTGGTGATGGCCCCCGGCTGCTGCTTCATGACGGGGGGCAGGGCGGAGGGCAGCTGGTAGCCCTGCAGCTTCAGCTTGATCAGCTTCATGGCGATGGAGAACTCCACCTGATCCATCCTCCCGTCGTTATTCATGTCGGCGAGGGCCCTGCGGACCGAGCGCAGCTTCAAGACCAG